AGTGGAGCATAAGCCCCTTCTGGGGCAGGACAACCATGTTGCAAGGGAAAAGGGCACTGGAAAAATGAGTGCCCCAAGTGAGGGAAAAGGAAGTTAAAGTCTGAGAATTCAGGTAAAACTATCAGTGTGGGGGACAAATACCAGACACCAGATACTCTGATACCAGAGTGACATATTACATGGTCAATAGAGCTCTAGCTGAACTGTAACTGGAATTTCTGGAATCCCTAAAAGCCAATTTTTCTTGAAGATATTAGAATTGCTGTGGGAGATAGAGCTTTTTCTCTTCTGCAAAGGGATTTGTTGTCAAAACTCCATGCTCAAATCACTTTCTATCCAGAAGAACAACAGCTCCACCTACAGGTCCCTCCAGAGCACACCCAGCAGTTTCTTATGAAACTGTGGGGAGGAGGAAAGCAATTCTGGCCAGAGGAAATTGAGAACCAGATAAACCCCATCGTGTGGGCTGCTGGAAGGCCAGGGAAGGCAGAGACTCCTCATAAGAGGCAGTATCCCTCGCAAAAGAAGACCCTCATAGAAATATGCTCAATAATTTGTAAGTTTTAGGAATATGGACTCTTTCAGCCCTGTCATTCCCTGTACAGGACAAGATTTAAGGGCCATAAATGATACTGTACAGAACAGTATACCTGGGGACAGCCTCCAGTATTCAATATTAGACTTAAAAGATACTTTCTTGCCCTGGCTGGTGTGGCTCAGTGGATTGAGCACTTGTCTGAGAACTGAAAGGTTGCTGGTTTGATTCCCAGTCAGGGCACATGCCTGAGTTGTGGGCCGAGCCCCCAGTTAGGGGTGTGCAAGAGGCAACTGACTGATATCTCTCTCACACATTGATGTTTCTCTCTCTCTCTTTCTCCCTCTTTTCCCCTCCCCTCTCTCTAAAAGTAAATAAATAAAATCTTTTTAAAAATGCTTTCTTTTGCATTCTGGTTGACCAAAACTCTCAACCATTGTTTACTTTTGAATGGCAGGACCTGGAATCTCAGGTCAAGACTCAGTACTGTTGGACAATCTTACCACAAGGATTCAAGTACTCCCCCATGAGTTTTGGGGAGACCCTGAGCCATGACTTAAAAATGGTTCTAATAATACAAGGAAGAATTCTGCTACAATATGTAAATGCATCATTTAACTAATACTATGGCCACCTTGAACCATTTGGCATCTTGTGGCTATAAAGTATCAGCACAGAAGGCCCAGATTTGCCAAATAGCAGTAAGGTTTCTTGGGTTCCTGTTGAGCCTAGTAGAAGGAGTCTTACTAGGTTTGTGAAAGAAACTAGATCATACTGTCCAGGAGTGGCCAGCCTGCTTAAGAACTACAGAGCTGTAGCAGCCACCTGTGAGCTTTTAAAAGCTGAAAAAGTTTTCTCTGGGACAGCCTATCACCATTTATGTACCCCACCAAGTGTCGAGCCTGCCAGAGCAAAAAAGGAAATTTGTGGCTCACTGCTGGAAGAAGGTACCAAGCAATTCAAAACTCTAAGTTCAATCTTGCCTCCCTTCTCCCAGAGCCTGACTCAGCCGTGCTATGGCATGACTGTGCTGAAATAATTAATGAAGTTTATTCTAGCAGAATTGATTTACAGGACCATCTTCTAGAAGAGGCAGACTGGACTCTGTATGCAGATGGAAACAGTTACATGGACAAAGGAAACGGAAAGGCTGGATATGCAGCTGTGACTTCTGAAGGAATAGTAGAGACCAAGTCCTTACTTCTGGGAACCTCTGCTCAAAAAGCTGAACTGACTGCATCGACAATGGAATTGTTGCACAAAATGAGAGTGTGTATATTGACTCAAGTTATGCTTTCCTCATTTTTGCATGTACACGGTTCTCTCTGGAAGGAAAGAGGACTATTAACTTCCGATAAAAATTAAGCATGTAGCAGAAATTTTATAATTATTAGAAGCTGCCCAGTACCTTTACTGGTGAAGTTATGCATGGCCTCAGGCATCAGAAAGAGGACACTGAAGGGGCTAGAGGAAACCATCTGGTTGATGGAGCAGCAGAAAAGGCTGCTAAAGGAACATTTATAAGGCCTTTGATACCTGGCCTCAACTTTTCACAATTTGACCCTGAATATTTGACTGCAGACTTGGAGGAAACTAAGAGCTGGGGTTTTGAATCACTTATATTAAACCATGGCACACAGGTCCTAGAATTTCTAAAACCACGTGTGTCAGAATAACAATCCTAAGACAGATCCCCATCAGGAAAAAAGGAAACAATACCAAGGGCAGTGCCTGTCTGAGAATTGGCAAGTAGACTCTACCCAGACGCCAAGTGTCCAAGGATGGAAATATTTGCGAGTCTCTCTTGATACCTTTTCAGGATGGGTTGGCCTACTGGAACTGAGAAATCCTTGGAGGTAACAGAAGCCCTACTGAAGGAAATAATTCCTTGATTTGGCCTACCCAGCAGCATCCAGAGTGGTAACAGACATGCTTTTGTTTCAGAAGTTACATGGATGATTAGTACATTTTTAGGAATCAAGCGGAGACTCCACATGGCACAGAGACCTCAGGCTTCTGGGAAGGTAGAGGAGATGAATCACACCTGGAAGAGAAATGTAGTCATACTATGTCAAGAAACTCAATCTCCACCGGGAGCAAGTATTACCTATTGCCCTGCTCAGGATGAGGGCAGCTCCTTGAAATGGGATTCAAATGAGTCCTTATGAAATTGTGTACAGGTGACCATTTCAGGTTATTATTGGGATGGGAGATATGTACGTAGATCAAAAAGTGAAGGTAAATAACTATGTACAACATTTAAGTCAGACCTTAGCTGTGATTAATGACCTTAGCTGTATTAGAGACCTCTCCCTCACACTCCTTTGAGCCTGGATGTAAGATGCTACTCAAGACTTGGAAGACAGGTCCCCAGAAGCCAACTAGAAGAAAAGTGGACTGGAACCTATGTCAAGCATAAGTCAAGCATAGACACTTTATTTTATGTCTTATAGGTGTTTGTACTCCCCTGGAAAGATAATTGGGGACCTATGGTAATTCTAAAGGGTGGGGACAAGTTTTCTTTAAATATGGGAATTGGTCCTAGCTGGAAAATGTGCAAATACTGTCAACTGCACTAATACTGTTTGAAGAATTGCAACACCCAACTAAGGTATCTTACATTGTTTTAGTTTGTAAAGTAATCTTATCGAAATAAGATAATTAAAAACTAACGGGGGGGGGGAATGATAGGAGAACTCAGGAGTTAAAGATTTTAGCCTTACTTGATAGGCTGACACAACAGGCAGACTGAACACTGACTTTTACAGTTTCAAGTCAACTGTCGAATGGAATACATCGCTTACTGAAGGGCTCTCAGAGCTACATGCTTTTATCTGCATCGTCTCACTGAATTCTCGTAACTTCTATGAGGTAAATTCTATTATATCTACATTTACAGAGAAGAAAACTAGCTCAGAGATAGCAAACAACTTATCTAAAGAAGACAACAAATATTTTTAAAAGCCCTTTCTTTCAGAGGGTTTTATTAGTTTAAATCTCTCAACAACTCTGACCTAAGGCAAATAAACCCTGCAATGGGGATTCATTCCACCAAGGCAGCCTACCATAGCACAGTGCCATTGAATTTAAAAAATAATGTAAGCCCTGGCTGGTGTAGCTCAGTGGATTGAGCACGGGCCTCTGAAGCAAAGGGTTGCCGTTCGATTCCCAGTCAGGGCATATGCCTGGGTTGCAGGCCAGGTCCCCAGTAGGGGACATATGAAAGGCAACCACACACTGATGTTTCTCTCCCACTCTTTCTCCTTCCCTTCCCCTCTCTCTAAAAATAAGTAAATAAAATATTTTTAAAAAATAATAATGTAAACCATATATGTAATTTAAAGCTTTCTAGCAGCCACATTTAAAAAGTACCGTAAAATGACACAAGTGAAATTGATAGGGAAAATCGGGAGTTAAAGATTTTTGTTCCAGTCATAGTTGATAGGCTTAAAGATATTACTCCAGGAACTGGAATGTGTGACCTACACGAATCCTGGAGGTGGACCAGCAATTCAACCTTTGTGCCCAGGGGATCTGCAAGAGAGGTAGATGGTATCTGAGCCACTGTGCTCCAGAGGGAGGGAATGTTGGGACAGATAAAGAATTGTTGATCAACAAATAAAGAAATACTCAGACTCAAACCGATTAACCTTTTCCCCAAACCCCTTTACCTACCCTTCTCCTTATAAAAAGGTTGGCTTGAGTTGAAATGTTAAGATCTATTGCCAGCATCTGCATAAAGCACCTAAGTAGATTCAATCCTTGTCTCTACTTACTGATTCTGGTAGTGTCAGGGAGCAGGAGCAGACTTTTCTGGTTCCAAAATTAAGTCTAATCATATATTTTATTTGACCCAATATATGCAAACTATTTTCATTCCAAGAAATAATTTAAAAATTATTGAGATACTTTTCATTATTTTTTCACACTAAGTTCTTTTTTATTTTAGATTACAGTACCTCTCAGTCCTAATTAGACACCTTTCAAGGGCTTGGTAAGCACATGTGCTAGTGACCACCATAAGTAGCAACTCATTTAGTGTATTTACTAATCCTAATGTGAAAAGCCCAACCCACAGAACCACCTGTCCCTCGGTTTCAGAGGAGACGCAAGAAATAATAATGGCAAAGAGTTAGTTTGTGACATGGGAAGGGCTAGTTTTACTGATTCCTGAGGATCTTACACACGTTATGTTCTCCAGTCGAGCCCTGCCTCCGCATTCGCCCGCCGTCCCGCCGAGGGCCGGGGTCGGGCGTCAGACCCCGGGACTCAATAACATCCTCACCAGTATCTAGAGAACAGACCCGCAAGTTGGAGCAGGCTAGCACCAGTCACCTTCGAGCTGACGCGACCTTCGCGGATAAGAACCTCTCTGGACTCCGGCCCCTCCTCCGACTCCTCCCCATCCACCAACTCCGACTCCTGCTAGAACCCGTGCTGGGAGGAGCCACCATCCCAAGGAAGCCATTATGCGTTTTGAACAGCCCGCGACTGCGCGGTCGCTGATGCTTCCTGACTCGACTCGAGAACGCCAGGGGGCGCCGCTTCCTGTAGCCGGACTCGTCTTCTCTGCGCACGCGCGCCTAACTCTTTGCGGAGACGCCCCGGGACTCTTCCGTTTTCGCTTGGCTCCCGCGGTTCGTAGCTGTCGGTGAGTTTAGCCTGCTCTCCTTCCTCTCCGTCTCCCCCTCCCTCCTTGTGGCGCGGGCCTTCCCCTTTAGCGGAAAACGTTTTCTTTCTCGCTCCGCCCCGGCGCAGACGCAGTGCTGAACTCACAGCCGCAGAACAAAGAGACTCGTCCAGAGCCGGAGTCATGGCGGCGACCGATCCGGGCTTGGCAACCGTTGGGAGTACCGCCATGGCGCGGGAGGGAGCTGGCGGGTTCCCTCAGCATAACCCTGCGGGTTCCTCGTCGACTCCTGAGGCGCCAACGACTGCCGCCAAACCGTCCAGCCCCAATGCCTCTATCCCCGAAACCATTCCTCCAGGTTCCGCGGCGGCCTCCGCGGCCCAGGAGCTGCCCCTCGACCCTCCACCATTGGCGTCCGCGCCGCTTGCTGAAGCCGCTCCCCGCACCCCTTTAGGTCCTGGCGGCTCCCGGCCTGGCCCGGAGACTTTCCGCCAGCGTTTCCGACAGTTCCGCTACCAGGATGCGGCGGGCCCGCGAGAGGCGTTCCGGCAGCTGCGTGAGCTCTCTCGCCAGTGGCTGCGACCCGACATCCGCACGAAGGAGCAGATCGTGGAGATGCTGGTGCAAGAACAGCTCCTCGCCATCATGCCCGAGGCGTTGCGGGCCCGCCGTCTGCGCCGCCGCACCGATGTTCGTATCACCGGCTGAGCTGCGGGAGGCCTGGTCCTGGTGCTCTGGACTGGAAGGAACCATGATCCGGCCCGGGGGCCTGAGCTTGGCTCCTCAATCCGCGTCAATGAAAAACGAGCTTTTTGGCAGTTTGTGTAGTCTGTTGTGGCCCTTTTGTTCTTTAGTGGGTTTTTATTTTCCCGAGCGTATTTCCAGTCTTCTTTCTGGCTTCTGTTGAAACCCAAGTTGGGAGCCCATGGGAATAAAGCCTTTGTTTCCTATTCACCTGGCCTTCGTTGGCTTTTGTGGGATCATTTACCTGTTGGCTCGGTCTCGGTATTCGCCACATCTGGGGAATTTTTCTTCACGTTTTCTAGGACCCCACTTAGGTGTCTTTTGTTTATTTAGAGGATTTAATGAGGGTCCCATATTCGTCCCTACCTCTCACTGGCTAGAATCTGAGCTTGTTTTCCTACCTGAAAAAAAAAAGTGACGTCTTGGGTTATAGAGAGGTGGTTGTAGCCTCTTGCAGGGAAACAGCTGGCTGTTAAATGATCGTTTAACTGGCTGTCTGTATACTATCACTGCCACCAACTTGCCCCACCAGCCTGCCTTTTGGGCAGAGTCCCCAGAGGCCCAAACCATAGGTTTAATAAGTTTAGTGCAGTTACTTATATAAGTCAGTCATTTTCTAGCTGTGGTTTAAGCCTCCACGCTCACCTTCCTTGCCAAATTTTAGGTGTCCAGAAGGATTTTAAGCAGAACTGGTGTGAATTAATGGAATTAATTGTTTAAGAAAGGGCAAGGGAGGGAGAAAGGGAAGCATCAATGTGAGAGTAATCGATTGGTTGCCTCTCGCACACCCACAACGTGGTACTGGCTGGTGACCCAGGCCTGTGCCCCAAACCTGCGACCTTTTGTTTTGCAGGATGATCCCCAACCTACTAAACTATGCTATTCAGGGCAACTGATGGGTTATTTATATTGCTGGATGGGGGGGGGGGGGGGGGGGGGGTTGAGCTATGCATTTTTGATCTCCCAACCACCTCCATTTATTATTTTTTAAATAAGCTTAATTGTCTATAAAGGGAAGAGGGAATTTGGGAACGGAGGCTCTGCTATGAAGTGTAAGTTTAAAGCCCTGCCATGGCCAGGTAGCACAGTTACAGTGTCTCCCTGATAGACAAGGTTTTAAATTCCATCCCTAGTCTGGGCACCTGTAAGAATCAATCGATCAGTTGGAAAAATGTCCCCTACACCAAAACATTGGGGATTCACCTCCCATTCAGAGTACACACATAGGTTGTTGGTTTGATCCAGGATTTAGACAACTACAGGAGGCAACTGATAGATGATTCTCTCCTCTCTAAAAATCAATAAATTTTTTTAAAAGATTTTATTTTCAGAGAAGGGAGGGAGAGAGGGAGACAAACACTGACTAGTTGCCTCTTGTTTGCCCACAAATGGGGACCCAGCCTGCACCCAGACACGTGCCCAGGACAGGGAACTGGACCAATGACCTTTTAGATTGCAGGTTGGTGCTCAATAAACTGAGCCACACCAGCCCGGGCCAATAAATATTTTTTATTAAATCAACCAACGAATGCATAAATAAGTGGAACAAATTGATGCTCCCTTCTCTGAAATTAACAATAAAAATAAATAGAAGGCCCCTCCGTTTCTTGAGTCTTCAGCCCAACCAAGAAGGAGCTATTTGGAATCCACTTTGCAGTCTGGATTGGTCTGAGAAGGGTCCTAAATAGTGGGTGCCATCTCTTACCAGGAAGTCCAAACCTGTCTTCCCGACACTGCTTTCAATAATCAAAACCTAGTAAGCCTGATGTTTGTTCACACCATGAAACATGAGCCAGACGGCTAGAGGCTGGTGTGGGGCATTTTACTTCGGAATATTAAATGAATTAGAAAGTTTTACATACTTTCTTAGGACTTAGGATCTTGAGCTTGTATCCATCTGCCTCCCTACAGAAGATAAGCCTGTTTAGAATGTAAAAAGAAGATGTCCTTTAAAACCGGCCCCCTAGGGAAGCTCACCTGAGCTCCCCACTCCTGTCCCTACTCTGCTCCTGCCCCCGCTGTCTTCCACAAAACCAGTCCCTGGTGTCAAAAAGCTTGGGGACTGCTGCTTTAAAAGACAATGTTTACAGCAAATTAAATAATATATAATAGAGAATTTCATAATTCAATGTGACAGAAATATAGCAACAAAAACCTGTTTTATTTTTTCCAAATACAGATACAGAAGTTTGCATGTTTTGCAAATATTGCTTCAAAGCAACATTTCTATATACAGCGCCTTCTGTTCTAATAGCGCGTAAACATAGATATGTATCCACAGTGCAATGTTGGCTCATCAAGGGTCCACCTTACACATTATCACTTTTTAAAGAAACAAAATGATTAGTCCAACCAGAACTGTTTTTGTCAAGGCAATTTTTTAAAGGTGGATAGTTTTACTCAAAACTTAGGTAGTGTACATAGTTCTAAATGGTAACAGTAATATTTGCAAATAACAGTTTCCAGTGCTCCAAATTGGGGTTTACTCAACTCGACCCAGGAATGAGGATGGAGCCCCTCAACATGGCTTTAAATTAGGGAAGTACAGTGAGGTTATCAGAACTTGGAGTCATCCCTGCTTCCCTAAGGACAAAAGTCACAATGAGTGAAATGGAATTATTTCTTCAATTAATGGACAAAACTAGGGTAGTTCAGTTTCTGATTTCATCTTTGAAAAAGACATGAGATTGACTACCTTAAAATTACAGCTTCCCAGGGTGTGGATGCTCAAACTTATTTTCAGGGGAAAAAAATCAGTAATAATATAAGTTGTCATACCTCACAGTTGTGGCTACAGAAACCATCCTGTTTCTTTCCTTTCCAGACAAGCATCCCATAGTTCCCATAATGTGGCTGTCTGGTAAGTTATGCAAAGCAGATGCCATGCACACTCCTTGAGCGTTTCTTCCCATACCAGAAACGCCAACTTTAGCAATGGGAAACAGCCTCTTGTAGAGAGGAAATGTGTCAGCTTTCATTACAAATGTCATAGCTACTACATGTGCTCCTTCTGATGGATAAGCTACAGCAGGTCAACTTGTCCTAAATTCGTTTTATATCACATGGTGAACAAATCACTGGACAGCACACCCTGAAACAGATCTTGGTACAGAGGCCTTCATGACCACAATGACCTGTGCCTTAAAGCCTAACCATTCCACAGATCACAGGAGAGAACTTGTCGTTGCTACTGAGATATTGGCTACTTCACGTTTACATAGTAAATATTTGCAGCATATAACATTACAGATTCATAAACCCATAATTAACTTGTGAGTGTTAATGGACAACCGTGCTTTGCTTTTCCCCTTTAGTGATAAGAAAACTAAAATGAGTCACTCCTCAAAACATGAAATATTTTCTTTAACTTTGCCTACTAAGGAAAAACAACAATATAGCAATTACACGTGGAACCGTAACCTGCGAGAGTAACAGATATTGTCTCAAAAGGTACAGACTGTACCTGGACCTTAAGCAGCATCATTACCTTGATCTCACAAAATAATACAAACAGGAAATTTAAAATGTTAAAGGCTGTTAAAACAAACCTGAAAATGCCACTACTGAATATACACCCTTCAGGGAAGGAGGAAAGCAACACTTAAAATCTGAAGTTTGTTTACAACAATATAAAATAAGGTAATTCCCCAAATCACATTCTTTGTAACAAATCTTTACAGTGAAAAAGTTCAAAATTTTGGGAAACTTTTTTGGACATTGAGTAGAACTGGGAAGCTGTCAATATTAAGAAGTGGGTAGAAAATGCTGTCCTTTGGGTTCCAGACCCCACCTGCTTCAGTTTGGAATTCCTCCTCAATTCGTAGTATAGTGAGATTCTAGTTCCTCCACAGGCTGATGGGCTCTGCTATAAAAGACACTACCCAGCCAACTCTGGGGTGAAAGCATACGAAACCTGTCCCCGGTACCATGAAGTCATGCAAGAGATGTGGTGAGGAAAGTGAAGAGTCCTACAGGGAGGTAGGGCAGCCAAGGCCTCTGCTCCTCTCCACAGAATGATGAAGTCGCGACATTCCCATGAAGCTGGAAAAATGAAAATGATGTCTGCTGCCCAAATCCATGCCAGGCAGAAACCAGAAGGCTTGGCATGTACCCCAACCTGACAGAAAAGTCAATTAAATAAGCTGCAAGTTGAATTTACAACTGTTTCCGACGAAACTTTTTTGGCTCTCATTCCATTTATCATCAGTGGCACGATTTCAAGTGAAGTTTGTGCAAAAAGACTCACTCTCCATCCAACAATGTGCACAGAAGAAGGGAATCCCAAGAGTCTTATTTGCTACCTTCTTGGTAGGCTCTGAGATCAGAGTGCCCGGCCCTCCGGCAGCCAAAATGGCCTCTTTGTCCAACGTCCATCACATTCTCTCTGCCCAGATCCCTGAAGTCAGTCGGTGTCACGTGCATTCAGCATGCTAGGTTTATTTAAAAATGCAAAGTTCTTCCAGCAGGCACCCCAGGATTGTGCCCGCATTAGTTCTGGGTGCCCAGGCTCATGTTGAGCAGCACAGCGCAATCTGCTGTACTTTGCCCAGGTCCGTGAGCAACTGCTTAATGCAATGCTTGAGCTGAGGAAGCCTGGCCAGCGGCTGCGGGGGCTCCAGTTCCCCAGTGTAGTCCAGCCAGCTCTCCAACACTGTAGGCAGAAGAGAGAGAGAAGACCCAGTGAGTTCCCAACACTTGATATGCAAGACTCACAACAAGAATTTCAACATCATATCCCATCTGACTGCTCAGGGGGGACTGGGAAGGGAAGGGCAGTTCACCATCCTCTCTACAAAGTACTTGTATTACTCCTGGGACAAAGCTCAAGTACTTTAGAGCAGTAGAGTCCAACCAAACTTTCTGCGATGATGGAAATGGTCTATGTTTGTGTTGGCTCGTGGAGGAGCCACCAGCCATACATAGCTACTGAGCACTTAAAAAGGTGGCTGGTGCAAATGCGGAACTAATTTAAATTTTAATCAATTTTAATTAAACAGCCACACACAGCAAGTCTATTACTGTAGCAGTGAAACTCTATAATAGAGTCCAGAAGGCTTTCTCAAGCAACATACAGCCTCACACACCATCCTTTCCCCTCCTCAAAACCAGCCGTCTGCCTTTCATCCCACCTTTCTGAATGCTCTTGTTTCCTGCAAGTTACTTCTTAGGGAAACTTCCCAACTCTACACCCTGAGTCTGGTCCTTGTGCT